AGGAAACGACTTCTTCTCATAATAGGTGGTCGTAGGAGGGCCTGAGTGAGTAGGAAAACCGTTCGGATAAAGAAGCTGAAAGAGTGAAGTAACCAGCCAAATGGTAGGACGAGAGAGAAAGTGATCCATCCGGTCAAGTGGCTAGAAGAATCGACTGCGTGCAGTAGTTAGTCTTATGTGGCCAGGCAGAGGAAGGAGTCAGGCGGGATATGACCGGGTATATGAAGGAACCGAAAAGATGTGGCCGAGTGCACAAAGGAGCTATTAAGATATGGTTGAGTACAGGAAGGAGCCGGAAAAATGTGGTCGAGTAGTGGAAGGAGTCGATAAAACGTGTTCGGGAGCAAAATGATCTAAGTGATCCAGTGAAGTGGCTGTTATGGTGGAGTTAGTGGTAATGATGAGACAGATTGCTGAGGGAAATGACAAGCCAATAATGATAAAATAACATTTATGATTTTTAATTACTTCATTTATTTGTGTTAATGAGTGGCTGAGTGCAACGGTCACACCGACTTGTATAAAAAACCAGCAAAGGCACTGTAGAAGGTGTTAAGCATTTTGAGTATACACGCGTGAGTTAAGAAGCATCTTGCTGTTTCCGACAACTCCGTTCACATTTTCTGATAGTGTTGGCTTGCCGGTAGGCTGTCCCCGTAACTCTAGAAACCAACAGTATCCATTTGTCAAAACGGAACCAATTACCTTATTATAAAGTTTAAATTAAAATGAGATAATTCAAACTAAGTTAGTGACAATTAATCCATTAATTGTTATAAGTATGACTTTGGTTATAAGAATAAAGAGGCCTGAAATTGCACGGAAGCAACTGATCGAGACGACGCGTCGCGTATACGTATTCGTATGAGAGATGGAAAAGACTTTGTTTCTATATATTGCATGGCACTCACTCACTCTCTCTCTCTCTCTCTCTCTCTTCTTCCCACTCTTTGTCTTCCACCTTAGCTCTTCACTCTCCATTCATCATTTATCAGTGTTTCTCTCTCTCTCTATGTATCCATACACATAAAATACGTATATGTAATTTCATCTTATGATGCGCTTCTATACACCTTAACTTTTCCGTCAATTTTAGAGTAATAAACCCTCTATTTATACTGCCCAGAGTAAAATCCTCTGGCCTCAACCCATTCTATGATCTCCCAGTTTTAATTCGTTCTGAAAGAAAAAGAAGAAGAAAGAGTGAAAATTCAAGTTTTTTAGTGTGGAATTGTGAAGGGTTTCTGGTTTATTGACTCTGCAAGCAAGCCGCCGGTGACTTTCTTTGCCGTTCTCCGTTGTTGTTTTAGGGCTAGGAGGGGATATTGTCTTGTACTCGTAAGTTGTATTGGCTTTTGAAACAATCTTGTTTTATTTGCTGTGAGGATTATGGAGGAGCAGCGGCAATGGGGGGCCCCAAGCCCTTATTTTTTTCCGGCGGAGGAGAGTGCGGATTTAGCTCTCCAATCGGCCATTTCTCGGCTGACCATTTCATCGGAGTTTGACGGTGATCGTCATCGTCAGATGACGCCGGTCATTGGTTCTTCAAGAGGCGTGTCCGACGTGGCGGCCGGGTCGCGATTGGACCCTCCGATTGCGTATCAGCAGCTACAGGGAGGAGGCAATGTGGAGGGTTTGCTGACGATGCGGAGGGTGGCCCAGAATGGTTATGGCGATTTTCTCCTGGGCTTTGGTGGAGCCCACCAGGATTCTAATGTGGGCCAGGCTAGGAATTTGACCCCTGTAGCTGCGGACCTCGGTGGCAGCTCAAATCACGGAAGCGCCGCCTCTCCCCTTCCGCCGCCGTCGCCGTTCAACAATGGCGAAAGCTTTTTCCATGATCACTACCCTTTCTTGCTCTGCAAGAAACCCTTGCACAGAAACCCCACTCCAAACTTCCCAATTCGGAGCATTTCGCCTGAAGTTCATCACCGGAAGCACCAATGTTCACTGCTAAATCTTGAAGATTTAAGGGGCAAAATCATTTCCCTTGGAAAAGACCAAACCGGTTGCCGGATTTTGCAACACAGTTTAAACTTCTGGACAACCGAAGAAATCGAGGTCGTCTTGTCCGAGGTTATTGATTCTTTGGTTGATCTGATGAACCATCAATCCGGCAGTTACCTGATCCAGAAGCTCTTCTCACTATGCTCCGATGAACAGAAACTCAGGATTATTCTGGCATTAACCATGAATCCATATGACCTGGTTTATATATGCCTCAACTCTTTTGGGTAAGCTAGCTTAATTCTCAAGGTTCTTGAAATTTATAATTTTTAGGATTAAACTTAATTAAACTATTGTTTACTAGGGCTCGAGCTATGCATAAAATGCTGGAAGTTCTTAGCTCTTTTGAACAAAGGTTCATGGTCATGACTGCTCTTAGTCTGGGTGCTGTTACATTGGCCTGTGACACCAATGGCCACCTTGTGGTTTTATACTGCTTGAACAACTTCCCCTTTGAATTCAATGAGGTAAATAATATGGGACTAATCGAAGAATATATATCTATATATATGACTAAAAAATGTTGATTTGTTCTACTTTATATTGCCATATTTTGCACTGTTCCTGCTTGCTTACAGAGTTGGTGAGTAACACGTTTTGGTAGAGACAATGTGTGAGAGTTGAATTTGTTCGGTTTTTGGAGTATAGGAAATAACAATAGGTGTTTGTGAGCTTATTAGATTACTTATTTGTTTATCTTTGTGGGGATAAGTAAAATACTCGTTCCACTTGCAAGACATATGTTTAATTAGCTGATTATGTGTGACCTAATCATTAGGGGTAGCTTAGCTGTTATTTTCCAAGATCATGGAAAGAGTTAAATACATGTCACACTGGCATTCCCCTTCTCAAATTCAATTCCCGGTTTTTTATCTGATTAATTGGGAAGGGAAATCTGCTTTTAAAAAAAATACTTTCTTTAACTTTAGTGGCATGAATTTACTAAAGCAACCAGGCTTATGCTTTTGATTTTCTTTAGTGGTGAGAAACCTCGAGGTTTACTTTTGTTATTGTGGATGATGATTCTACAAGGGCTAGGTTTACTTTTTGAGTTAGTCATCTTGGTCTAGTGCTGTGACTGTTGCTGAGCACCTTTTTCCCTTTTTACATGTTGATTATTGACACTTTTATGTCACTTTTACATCCATTTCCGCGATTCAATTGTATCTCGTATTTGGTAATGGAGTTTATCTTAAATCGTAATTAAGTAAGAGTCTAAGAAATGGTTGTATTTTGTAGCGTTTTATCAATGGGATAGTAGATAAATGCTTTCGAGTTGCAACCAACATACGAGGATGCCGAGTGCTGCAGTTATGTGTAGAGAATGCTCGGGGAGAAGTTAGAGAACGTCTGGTATGTGAGATATTAGCAAATGCAGTGCACCTTTCAGGAGATCCCTATGGGTTAGCTTCTTAATTAAAACTTGCTTGTGCTTGATTTCTTAATCCAACACAATCTAGAGTCGAGACTGACATGATCGTCTTCGCCCAGCAACTATGTGGTGCAGCATCTTCTTGACCAAAACATACCCGGAGTAGAAGACACACTACTGAAATGTCTCGAGGGGAAGTTTGCAACGCTTTCGTGCAACAAATACTCGAGTAATGTTGTCGAGAAGTTCTTTGTGAAATCGGGAGAAAACTCCAACAAAATTATCATGGAGTTGATCACAAGCCCAAATGCTTCTATGCTTCTCGTGGATCCTTTTGCAAACTATGTCATTCAGAAAGCATTGAAAGTGGCGACGGTACATTTTCAATGAACTCCTTTTTCCTACTATTTATCATTTATTCTTTCTTCCACTTAGTGGAATTGGCTTAGTTTTCATTGTTTTAGCTACTAGTAGGTTTACGGATCTAATTACTACTTCTATAACTATTTTCCCAGGATATACAAATCTTCATGCTACTAATTTTACATTACTTAGGACCTCTTAGCAGGCTAAATCGGAAATCTTTAAACATTTATTTGCTCTTAGCCCGAGTGATCTTGTTCTTGACCTCGATTTGCTGATTGTTAATAACCCACCGTTTTCATTGCTGTACATGCAGGGCGAGTTGTTCACTGCACTGGTTAATCTAATCCTCGTTAATGCTTCATCCATGCAAAGTAACAAGCATGGAAGGAAGATCCTTGCTTGGTTCGACGGTAGGAGTTGAAGTAGACGATGTACATGTGATTGACCTCTCTCTCTCTCTCTCTCTATATATATATATATCTCTCCGTCTTGTATGCCTGCTCGATCAGGATTGATGCCACTGCTCCAACCTTATTCCCCGGCTCGCTGTGTTAGAGTTTCCTAGGATTTAGACATGTGGGTAAACATTAGCTTTATGGTCTGTTGTTTGTGTGTCTGCCTAAACTGAGGATTGCAGAACCATCGTAAAATCTGGGGTTTAGATTGTACACTGTTGAGTTCCTCTATCTGTTGGTTATATGATATATATATATAGCTATGGGCTGTAAACATCTTTCTTGATTAATAAAAAAAAAATCACTTGTTGTATAAAACCACTTTCTTTCCTATCAGATCTGTTCATTTATTTCTGGTTTATGAATCAGAGTAATGAAGAAGAAGATGACAAGAGCACTGGAAAGCTACTCTCTTGATTGAATTGCTTGAAGCAATTACAGCCATTGATTTCTTGGTTACATCACATCATGTTCAATTGCTAGAGTACATACCATGGAATCATGGATGTTGTACTGTAAAGTTGATAAAAGATCTCTCTTTCTTTATTAAACGATCCACAAATTAAGCTGCCCACTAAGAAAATTGTTTCTTTGCGTGATCGGTATGCATTTTATTTCAAAAAGATCTTTCTTTTTAGACCAATCTCATCCCGCTTGATACCTAACATGTTAGTATGACTGGCAAGCATCCTACCCGATAAAGTTATCTTAGACGGGTATGTACTGTATTAGACAAAAGTATTTTTATAAGACGAGATTAATTCAGAAGAGACTAATTTTCGGAAGAAAGAAGACAAGAAAAAAATAATAAAAATGAGTACATTATTGAATCACTGAAGACTAGGAGGCTATTACAACATAGAATAAGACATAAGCACTGAAACCCATTCACTAATTGTTAATTAATATATCAACCCTCCATAAGTAGAGCCTAAAATTTATTGGTAAACCCCATGGTTTAGTAGCAAGAACCAAGAGTTAAGAGACATGGCAGACCAAAACTCTGATCTGCTTTAACTTAAGGGCATTTTGGCTTGCCCTTTGTGTTCTTCTTGTCCCTGTAACAAGGGCACTCATGTTTGTTCCCAAAAGTCCCAGAAGGCACACACTTGCACTCTTCACAGCATATCCCACAGTACTTCAAGCACCTGTCCAAAACTCCAGCCTTTGCACATCTTCCTTGGCACTTTGAGCTGCAAAAACCTGCAAAAAAAACATAATTACACCCCGCAAAAGCGAATATATATATATATGCAACTAATCCTTTGACTCGAGATCAGATAAGAAGCAGAAAACCTGAAAAAGCCAGAGTGGTGTGAACAAAAGATGAAGAGCCAAGAACCAGAGTGATAAGAAGCAATGTTGCAAGAAGTGCCTTCATTTTGAGGTTCAAGTGGAAATGGTGAAATGAAGGAAGGTAAAGGGGATATATAGAGAGGGAGAGAAGAAAGGTGGTAGGTGGTAGGAGGAAGTTATAATAAAGTGTAATGCAACATAAATAAATGAAGAGTGGAGTCCAGACTGTCACATTTTGTACTTACACTACATGTCCTGCGCATGAACAACCTAATATCTACACCATTTCTTGATTTCTAAGACAATAACCAATTACTTTAAGAGACTTGTTTCACGACATTTTTATCATTCGCTTCATGTTATTCGTGTCCTTAGGTGCAAAAATAATGAATTGCAATGATAATAACTGAAACGGGGGCTGAAGTAATTGGAACCTATCACCGTTCCAATCACATAAGAATATAATGAAAAAGGCAAAATCTATTAGGTCTGTCATTATAAACCCGTTGCTTTATAAAGAGTTGCAGTTTATCATAAAATATGTCTTTAAATTAGTCTAAAAGTTCTGAATTAATCAACTAATTGAGCTATTTTTTTTAAGAAATGAACTGAGATGGGTGACCCCATTGTACAGAAGTTGTTATGATCTGCTGCTCACTATGTGGTACTACAGAATCGGCAATACTATAACCTTACATCTGTTTAAAGTTCAAAAAAATATATAAAAATTTAAGCCCATTTTTTCTGGCGTACCATTTAAAAAGAACCTTACATCTGTTTTTGTTTTTTTGTTTTCCTCATATGAAGAGTCGAGAAATTGCTGTGTGCGTTCGGTACCCGTTTTGCCCTTTCCTTTCACCCTTTTTCCATGTCTGCGAAGCACTGCATCAAAACTTTAAAAAGACACGGAATGGTCGGCCGGCGTTTCCATGGCCATCTCACGTGACCTGTCGTGCCCTAGAATTTTCTGGGTATCTTATGGTGTCTGTCGGCACCGTACACTTATGTATTATATCATATATATTATTAAAGATTATTGTAAATAACATTCACTATAAGACATGATTGTATTGAGTATGGTTGATATTATAAAAACTTTTCCTCCTATTTATAAGGTGTAAATAAGATGACATGATTTTTTCAATTTGTTCTTATTTACCAAAGGTAAAATTCATCATTTCAAGACCATACACTTTTGCCCAACATAATAAAAGGGGTAAATATGGTGACTTAGCGATCATTTAGATGGAAGGACACGTGTCTGTTCTCATAAAGAGCTCACCACATTAGGTGTAATTCTCACACTGTAGTTGTCAAATCTCAATTCAAATCTCAATTCTACGTCCTTGATTGGCTCTATACTGGGCTATGAAAGACCAATAATATACTGTGGACTATGGTCCAAAAAGACCAATAATAAACTGATATTGTTTCACGTATTATTTTTATTATATTATCAAATGAAACTGTAATTAAATTAAAATGAAACTGTAATTGTGTTTGATAAGTTATATACCCCAGATCCAAGTTCCCTATACGTCCAGGTCCCCGTTTTATAGTCGGGCCGGAGTCAAGCGGTTCGAGACCTGGTCTACAGGTCAAACCCGCCCAAGCCTCAGGCCCATAAATAATGCCTTTGGCCTCATAGTTGGGGGTCCTTCACTTACTCTCTGATCAATTACTCTCTCTCTCTTTATATGCACCCTCTTCTCTCCCTTCTCTCTACAAACATATACAAAAACAACATGAATAAAAGAGACTCATTTGCTATCTCTCTTCTTCTTCCATATTTATACATATTACATATGGTACATACATTCTACATAGCAAGAATTATCAAAATGAAACTATAATTGTGTTAAATGAAGTTGCTATGCATATTTGACGCAAATTATGCTGTGCAACCGAATGCACCATGCAAGGTGCATACGGTTGCAAAACGGCGCCGTTTTGGTTAAAAAAAACGCGCGTCCCACTTAAAAAAGAAATCAGGTTCGATTCCCGGCAATAGCATTTTTATATATCCACAAATTCATAACTATATATCCACAGTGAATGAATGAAGTAAAAATCCACAATGAATGAACTAAATATCCACAATGATTGAACTAAATATCCACAATGAATGAACTAAATATCCATAAATTCATAACTATATATCCAGAAATTCATAACTATATATCCACAGTGAATGAATGAAGTAAATATCTACAATGAATGAACTAAATATCCATAATGAATGAACTAAATATCCATAAATTCATAACTATATATCCACAAATTTATAACTATATATCCAGAAATTCATAACTATATATCCACAATAATGCTATTGTCGAGAATCGAACTTGATTTTTTTTTTTTAAGGGGGACGAGCGTTTTTAGTTAAAACGACGTCGTTTTGCATCATATGCACCATGAGCATGGTACATTCGGTTGCACAGCATAACTATTGCATATTTGATGCTTGGACCACAATGCATTGTGGAACGTAGTCCACAGTATAATTTGCCATGAAAGAGTGTTCAGTTCAATCATTATTGTATGGACCATGGTCCACACAAGTTGTGTGGACCATATTTTGTCTACTATAAAATAATGTACATTCAGTACAAAAATAATGTACATTCAGTACAAAAATAATGTATATTGTATACAGGGGATATACATTATTTTTGTTCTGAGTGTACATTATATTGTATAATGTATATTCAGTACAAAAATAATGTACATTTAGTATATTAAGATATATTTTTTATTATGGTCTACGTAACATTGTGTGGACCATGGTCCATACAATAATTTGCCGTTAGTTGGAGTGATTAGGCCCGTTGGGCTGTGTATATTGAAACTGAAGAAAAAAAAAAAAGGCATGATCTGAGGTTCTTTGCTAATATTTTATGGGCCTGAAAATCTGGGCCACATTTAACTTGTGTAGCTTTTACGATCTTTTTTTTGGTGGGCAATTATGTTTTGGGCTAAGAATTTAAATATGACTAAAGAGAGTCCACGCTTTATTGGGCTTACTTTATTTGTATTTGTCTAAATCATGCACTCAACTTTGTAGGAAAACTAGTCTCGTGCCAGCAAATGTTTAGCTCAATGATTCAATAGACAGTATTTTTAGAGTACAAATCAAGGTTCAAACTTCGACGGCGACAGTGTAAAAATTATGCTCAAAATGAGCAGATCCCTTGTATGCATGTATACTAAAGCATACCCATAAAACTAAAGCATACCCATAAAACATAATAATATGGTAGAAAGAGTGTAAGAGAGCGTAGATAGGAGTGATACAAGTTGGGAAAGGTGAAAGACATGAATACATTAAAGGAGGAAAGCTATAATGAGGTTGAAGATATAAAGTAATATTCCGTACGTCATTACACTATCTAACCATTGCTTTTATCTATTCATCAAATCATTATTTGCATGTATTCTTTCTCCCTTCTCTACGTCTCAATTTCTTCCCCAATAAAATATACATAATAATAATAATAACCTCAAAAAAGTGACTGAATGAGGTGGAACATAATTATCGGACCATAAAATAAAAAAAATTATTATTGTCAACACCTTATCAGTTGAGTTCGTTGCACATAGTCTTTTTAATACAATTTACTTTTTATGTGTAATTTGTTAAATAGGAACATGAGTAACTATAAATTGTTTTCGTGACACAAAAAAAATGGAATAATAATATATAAATTAAATAGTATTATTAGGACATTTAGGTCTAAAGTTTTCTCCGACATAGAAAAGAAAATTGGCCAACTGTCTATGACTATATCGTCTAATGGGTGCGCCTCTTTCCTAGCTAATATCCCAACTCCCATGTGGGACTGCATGCTAGCTATCACCTTTGATTTCCCATCTATCTACCTAATTCTTTGTCTATATATATAATTAATTATATATCGGAAAAATTTTCTCCTACTTCCTATATTTCAATATCTTTTACTAAAATGAGAAGAAGGGGAAAATTTGAATCATAACAAGTGGTTGAAAAAAGAAAAATGAAAAGACGTGGTTGTTATAAAAGTTTTCTCTTTATTTTATTTTTTGTCCATAAAAAGTAAAAAAAAAAATTTATCCTTATTACGACTCTCAAATTCCGAGCTGACAAGATAATTAATGAGTAAATCGCAATAATTCAATAACAGTCTATTGGATAGGAAGGCCAATGTTTGGTGCCTACAAAGAACTTACCACATTAGATCTAACTTTTACATTATGGCTGTCCATGCTTGACGATTTATGTCGTTGTCCACAATCTACTATTTAATAACCAACTAAGCTTTTTGATTTTTTTTTTTTTACATGATTACATGGGGAAAGCTTTCTTGTCATAAATTCAAATAAGACATACCAAGTTTTTCCTTCTATATAGGAGTAAGTAATTTGTTGAATTTTCAAAGAGGAAAACTTTCATGTCATAAATTCAAATTTCACTAATTAAGAATGGTAATAGGATAAGGTGAGGGACATATCCCTTGTCCTCGACCTGGCTACAATGGGGTAGAGAATTAGGCTTCCATCAAATTCAAGTAAAATTATTGTCGTCCTTATCCTTAATGCAAATTAACTCATACCACTTTCATTGATGTTTTATTTAATAAGTTTAGATATCAAAACTATATATTTCTAATCACTTTAATTAAAAAAAAAAAAAACAAAACAAAACAAAACAAACAAACAAAAAAGTTGAACACATTAATAAAATACATAGCTAATAGTCAATCAATATGAAAATAAATTTCTCCCACCCTTATTATATTAATCATGTTAAAAATAAAGTATGTATTGGCATGGGAAATCTAGGAAAATTAGAGGTAGGAAGCCAACAACTTGATGACAAAATGTAGGTAGCTAAGGCCTTGAAGTTGAATGTTATACACTACTTTTATATAAAAAATAAAAAAAAAAAAAAAATAAAATAAAAAAACGAAACCACCGGCTTATCTCCAAATGAGTGGATAAGTAGACGGAACATGATTTTCGTATTTGAAAGTAAAAAATTTGATTATTGTTAATACCTTATTGATCAAACCCGTCACACGTGATCTTCTAAATATGGGTAAACATTATCAAATAATGATCGCAGTTTCGATCCTTTTCATCATTAAAAAAGAACAAAACAAAACAAAAACAAGAAAGGGCAAA